ACCAAACTTGTAATATACTTCTCAAATTGACTTTTCCATGGCTGGAAAAGCAAACATCATAGCAGAATATTTAAGTAAATGAACAAACAATATCAATAACTGTAAATTCGTGATATTAATATCAATAACAATAAGGATTCAGGAAAAAAAATGTGATAGGGAAATATAAAGATATGAAAAATTACAAATAGGTGGCAATCAGCCTCTTGTCCAAGAAAGGCAAATGCTCTATTAGATAGTGTCTCTCACAGACAGAGATGTTATAGAAGCACTTTACTGGTATAGTGTGTAGAGTTCTTGTCATTTGGGTCCTAAAATGAGATGAGACCACAGCAGGAGCATGAAGCATCTCTACAACTGATAAATATGAAGAGCCTGAAGAAAGGTTGATTTGCTTAGCTGGGCTAGGGAGAGACAGCACTGTCCCTAGTGTTCCAAAATAAATTAAAGGGTCAGTGGTAAAAAAGATCAATTAATTTCAAGGAACACGGTAAAAAAGGTGATACATCTGGCCAAGAAATTTAGCATGAAAACTAGAAAGAGATTTGTATTCATAAGCAGAGTAAAGTAACAAAACAAGCTTCCAGTAGCAACAGATTGGACACAAAACCTGCCTGGCCCCAGGCTGGGGCTTGAGCATATGCCAGGATTTCTGTGGTTGTGAAGCCTCAGCCACAAATCTCTTTTCCATCTTTCACTATTTTTGGGTTGTCACTTTGGAAACCCTATCTAAAGGAGGACTAACTGTGCTTAAGACCGTTTTAAACTATTCCCCAAAGTTTGCTTATAAGAAAGTAATAGAATTCCTTTCAAACAGGTAGAGAGCACCTATCTGGAGTATCAGCAGCGAGTCCAAGTATGGAGTTAGAACAGTGCTAGGTACAAACAGTGGGTTCCATACTAAACCCAAGAAAACATATTTCCTTTAAGTCTATAGAAAAGCCTGGAGGATAAGAGACTGGAAAATCTCACTCTGCTTTCTACGGTGTTAGAAGATTGCCCCAGAAGTGACACAGCCAGTTTCATATTTGCATTATGGTTATTACTGTTGCTATGTTATTGTTATCCACTCATCACACACAAGAGAGAAATAAACCTGTGAATAGGACTCAGAGTACCTGAGCTATGCCAGGGGCAAGCCATACCCAAGGAATCCAAAGTTTGTGTCTTGGGCTCATGCTCCGCTGTGGCGAGGAGCAGGACAACGACAGCAGAAGTCTGCTGGCAGTGGAGGACAGCCAGGAGAGCCCCTGCAGCTGCCCTTGTCCCAGAGATCACTGGCAACTGCAGCATGGACCTGTCTTGGAGTCTCCTTTAGGGATGTGTGAGCAGAGAAGTGCTCCCACAACTACAAATTCTGAAGAAAGCACCAGTGGAACTGAGTTCTCAACTTCTGGGCACATTTGCAGTCCAAGACACAGAGTGGCTTCTCTTGCCCACACCACATCATTTATAAATCCCAGGAAGCTCACAACAGACCTGGCCCAGCTCCATAAAGCAGCAGGACAGAGCCAGCACAACAAACACTGCACCCATACAGACACGGGCTCAGGTGTGAAGGGAGGGGGAGCAGGATCCACAATTCAGCTTAGGCAAAGAGGAAGGGAGGGCCTCTCTGAAGGATGTGGCAGCAAAGCCCTTCACTCTGCTCTCATTCCCACTTCTGCTGCACCACCCAGCATTCAGACAAGGTGCACAGGATGAACCTGACAGTGTGACTGCACAAAATGTACAGTGGAAGGGAGGGAAGAAAACAGAATCACAACCCCAAACACTCCTTTAACCCTCATCAGAGGTGCCTTTGCCCAGCCATAGAGCCAAGGCTAATCATGAAGTATGGCACACTGCCCACCTGAAAAAAAAGCAGTGGGCAGACACTGGAGAATGGAAAGTAGAGTTTGAAGATTAGATATACCAATAATTCAGTGTTTAAAATCTCTCTTTTTACAATACTTCTTCTTCTGCAAGCCCTTCAGACCAGAGTTTAGTTGTTCAGTATATAAGGCTTCAGAAAAGATGAGAAGTACTCACAGGACATGCAAGGGTTTCATGGCTGAGAGAACTCAGTACCAAGATCACCAAAAACGTGGTGCAAGAAAAGCAATAACACTTGCTCTATCAGGAAGGGCAGTTATAGAACCAAATTTTTAATTTTTTTTAATCGATTGTGGAACATGATTGATACTAGGTCATAGTAGTTTACCCAGATCTAGATTAACCACCACATCTGAAGCTGTCTGATGTTTTCAGAATTACTTGCATCACACTCTGCTTAGCTTTGATGAGCTAGTGATAAACCTCCAGCTATTTAGCAAGTTCTACCACACAAGTAAAGGTTAAAGGCACAGTATGAAGGACAAAGCATTCAACCAATAGAGAGGAGGTGAAGGTAAAGCCTGTCTTGCAACTTGGAGAGCAATTTCAGTTTATAATTGCTTCCTCCTTTAGAACTCCAGGGGATTGCCTAAACTGTATCAACTCATTGCAATTGTTTAGAAAAAAAAAGGAAGACATTTTGTAATATCAAAATATTCTGAATCAATCCATAGCCTCTTCCTTTGTACTAAAATTATACCAGAAAAGCATGCTATGAACTTAACAGGAAAGTCTAAATTATGTTTAGGATGCTGAGGAATACACTAATATCCAATACATGCTTCTCAGAAAAGGCAACTTATAACTCTTTATTTTCAGTTCTCCAGCTTTCTATCCTGTATAAATCAACCATAATTTACCCAGAAAACTGTATCTCAAAATGTTTAAAGTGAGAAAATGAATTTATATGAAAATATTAACTAATAAGCATGAAAAGCATGGACAGTATTTGAACATTCTTTAAACACCTGTGTAATTAAGCTAGACAACACTGCTTTCCACTGCACTACTACCTCAGAGTAGTAGATCCGGAGAGGGGCAAGAAATCCTTTCAGAATAAGCTACAGTCTGTTCAGCCGATCACCTTATGAATGCACAGATTCAAGTTCCTGGTAATACTGAAAGAGGAGAAGATACTCGATTTCATTGACTGGCTTTTTGGAAATAAAAGAGTGGCTTTCAGCATAGAAACATAGCCTTTAAAAGTAACAGCTATGTAATGCTACCTCCAGAAACAGAAACACAGTGCAGTGCACTCTTTTCACAGTCACAAAAGACCAAATCTCTCATTTGTTCCCACACGTCCAAATGGGAAATTTATAACATAATACGTTTAAGTAGAATTTATGCTAAAGTACAGGAAAATATTAAATGAACTGTAGTTTGGGGACAAACCCATAAAGATAAGATAAAAAATAGTTACCTTCCTAAAACAATATGAGGGAGTGGAAGGTTTTCTTAGGCATTAAGTTTATTATCTGTATCAGTGTAAGCCCAGGAGTTGTCTGCTTTTTGCAAAGCTGTTTGCTGCTTCCACCATGTACAGAATCGTTCTGATCTCAACACAGAACAGAAAATGTTGAACACATAATTTGTGCAGCCATGATAATTACGCCGGTTATTGCATTTTCTTGGCTTCTGTAAACAATATTACTGACGGCTTGTAATAGACAAAGGAAAACCTTTCCAAAGGGAAAAACTTCCAGATCTCTACAAGCCGGTGCATGGGAGGCTGCGAAGGGAGCAAACCAAGTCCGGTGAATATCCATACCTTCAACAGCGTCAGTAACTGCAGGAAATGGTCACGTACCTCTGAATAGAGTATCCCCATGCCTATTCTTCACTCTGGAGCTCCTTCTTGTTCAACAGCCCAGCAACTCACCCTCACTTGAAATGTGCTTGAGCTTGTTTGAATCTGGTTAATAGTTAACTCAAAAGTATCACTTTTTCTTAAGCTATGTTTCCTCTCAGTGCTTTCTACTTAGTAGCACAAAACAATTGTCTTCAGAAACCCAGCCCAGGGAGGTAAACGTGAGAGCAGCAGCTTATGGGAGACAGGCGGAACAAGTTACAACACAGAAGCATTTTCCTTTGTCATTTTTGCAATAACAGCCTCCAGTTACCTAAAAAGGAAAGTAGCAAAACAGGTCGAAGAGAGAAGGGAGAGAGAAGGGAAGAAAGTTTCACAAGTAAAGAAATGGAGGAGTTAAAAGAGGAGAGAGGGTCCAAAAATAAAAACATATTCCAAATCTTCTGCAAGAACACCTCAAACGCCTGTCAGGAAAAGGGAAACAACTAAATCCCACACCTTTCATGAAAACTCCCAGTATAATTAGCCTCTCACTCTTTAATTAAACAGGCCGGTCGCTTTCATCACTTTTGTTCAGTCTTCCCCTTCTAGCCCAGCCCAACCAGTGAATATGATTCATGTTTAACCTAGTAATTTTATATGCTAATTGGGAACAGAATTATTACTGATGTCCCTGAGGATAAGATGCTGATGACATTTCTGTACTACACTCAGTCTTTCTGAGCAAGGCAAGTGTATTTCAAATTTCTGTATTCACCTCAAAAATATCTTTTCCCTTTATAGTTTAAATCACATTTCATGTATTTCAAGCAAAATTTTAAAAAGTTTTAAAACATATGCATGTAAGATTGCATCTTAAACCCAAGCCCTCTGCCTTACATTTAGCAACTTCTATTTCCAAATAATTTTCATATTGATTCTCAGCAAGGTAGAGGACCATCTCCAGCCTTCTCTAATTAAAGTAGTACAGCTACTGGCTGTAGTGTTCTTTTGCTGGCACCAGTTCTAACCCTTTCAATGGCTGCTTATCAGAAGAACGTTAGGCTGGCACGTAACAGACACAGAGATAACACCCATCTGTGACAGACTCACTGGCATCCTTACACCAAACTGATCTTCAAGCATGTGGTGAATATGACATTAGGCTAAGGACATGGAAGAGTGAGTAACACCTCCAAGCTGAAAAGGTCTTCCTTACCATTATTTCATCAAGATCTTCTCCACATCAAGATCCTAAGATATTCACATCCTCCCACATCTATTGACCTGCTTGTTGGAATTTATAAACTACAACCTGTTGAAAGAAATATCGAATCACTAAGATGATACATAAAGCAACTTAGTAGTTTAATTAATCTCTTCCTAACAAAAATAAATAAATGTATGGTAATCTGAAAAGGTATTTTAAAAAACCCCAACAAACCAAAAAACCAAAAAAAAAAAAAAAAAATCATTGAAGTGACTACTTTGGTCCCAGCTTCAACTGAAGAGCACTTAAGCAGCCCATGATGAGGTATGAAACTCATGCAAATGTATATAGATGTATATAGTCTCAGGTTCACTTCTGATTAACCTATTGATTCAGTGCTCTTTGCCATACTTGCAAATGAAGATATGAATCTTGAAAAAATTATTTTTTATGAATAAGGGGTTTTTTTATTCCAAAGGGTGTCAAGACAGTGCATGGACAAACTGTCCCCTAGCCAGTCTGTGGAGGAAACATGATTCTTACTTCCTCACAGAATTCAACAACACTTCAAAAGTTTCATGTGAACCAGAAGGGAGCTAAATATTTTTCAGAAGGACCTTCACCAGGGCAATAATAAGGTAAATTAATTTTTTAAACTAGATATCAATAGCTGAAGAACAGCATATTCAATACGTCACAGAATATAATTTGTCTCTTTAAATTCCAAGCAGTAGAATTTGTATTGCCACAAATCACAGGAGTTACATTGCTCTCAGGAAAGCAACCTGTGGCTTGTTGGAGACATGCGCAGAACAATCCTCCCAAATGCATATTCCCAAGAAATGCAGACCTGGAATGGCCAGTGTCTGCACAAGAGGGACACTGACACCTTACACTTTCCCTCAGAAGACTTTTACTTATACAGCATCCTTGCAAGGGTCCCTTGCACCTCTGCTGCAGGACAGGATTGACTCAGACCCAACAAGCACAAAGAAACCCCTCCATGGCATGGACCAGAGCCTGTATTTCATAACCTTAAACTCAGTTCATGCTATGTCCAGCTCCAGGCCAGACCACCTGGACTTCAGTTTTGCCACAGCATTTTAAAACAGAATACTTACTATCTCATCTGCCCTGGTTCTCTGAGTAAGGACAGTCCATCCTGGGAAGTTTCTGTTTCTAGGCTTTGTGGTTTTTATTCTCTTTTTATATGTGTTACTTTCATTCTCTCTTCCCTTTGGGCTAACATTTCTTTTGCTCTTCACGTGGTTCCCATCAACAATATCAGAAAATATCTCATACATCCCATATGCCACCACAAGGTGATATAGGTAAAATGTTCCAGATCATTCCCAGCTGGCAGTTCTATAAAACAAAAAATGTAGGATGGTGTTATCTGGGAATAGAGCAAAGCCTTCAATATGTCTCATCAAGTGGAGGTATCAGACCTGCTGAGCTGTGATGCTTTTCATTGAGAAATCACCTTTTTGGCTTTTCCACATACTGTGCCCTACTTCATAAAGCAGAATTGCTTCTGTGGCGACACTCAGGTTTTGTCCACTAAGTACTCACTTCATTTATTTTCCCAGGCAAGGCAGCATATCATTAGCACCCACGTTTCCAAAAATTTCCTGCAATCAAGAAGCCAGGCCAGTGTCAGTAGGATCAGGCCCCCAAGGCTGACTTCAATTAAGACAGAGGATAGGGAGGGGTCTCTAATATATTGCAGTCACACAGTTCATCAAGGTGGCTCGGAAATAATAAGACTTGGTTCTAACACCCTCTCTTGACTTGAAGTTTAAACAATGTTTTCAAACTTAATTAAGTTCCTGAGAATCCCTACAGAAGCAGGTGATTCAGAGCAAACTCTTTTTTGTATGTTGTGGGGTTCACACCTTTCAAATCACTTCTGGTTTTATTCTAAGATTATCTAACAGAGAAGGATTGTCCCCAAGCAATCAGCAATTCAGAAAACAAACAACTGGTGCAGAACCAGCGACCAAAACAGCTTTTGTACTACCCACAGCAGCAGAGATCACATTCACAGCTAGAAAGTTTTGAGAAAAGATGGATTCTTTCTCCTTTTTATCCCAAAATATAGGAATTACAGCACTTACTAAGACAGGTAGCAGTACAAAGATCTGCCACAGCCTCAGGGAACAAGAAAACCAAGTTCCTCATAAGTATTCTAATGACAGGTTTGATGTCTTTTTACTTCACCAGATCCATGGTGCAATTTGGTCTTTCAGAATATCATGCAACGGTGCTATTTATCACATAATAACTCCACTCCTTAAATACTGCCAAACAAGCAGCACTTAAACATGCTCTCCTGTGTATGCAGATCTCACACAGAACTCTACTGCTCTACTCCTTTTATTGGCACAAGCTTCTGGCAGTGAATCAGCAGGAGACTGACCAGGAACTGCAGCAGGAGGTGCAAGCACGAGTCAAACCAGAGGTAAATTTGTTTGTTTGCATCCATGCTCTCTTTCTCCTTGCCTGTCTCCATCCAGCTGTGCTGTCCTGGGTCTGTGCAGCTGGTTCTCAGAGCAGCCAGCCTGCCATCCTCCCTGCCTGCCGAGCATCAAAGGGCAGGTGTGCCAGAGGTAGAGAGGAAAAAGACTTTGGCCCATGCAAATGGGAAAAAGGAGTAATTAATTGTTTTATTTTGTTCTCCTTGTTTTTTTCCTCTAGGGACTCACTGCAGATGCATGGAAATCTCAGCTTTGAAAACATGTATATAAATTAAATAAATCTTGTTCTTATAGTTCCAAAAGCATTTGAGTTTTCCCTGCAAGTTAACCCAGATTTTCTGACATCTGCTAACCTGGTGTCTTTCTGTCCCATTTATAGTGTATGTGAAGTCTATATGACTCTCTCAAGAGTACACTGATGAATTTCTAGAAGGTTTAAGGTTTGTTTTCATTAATATCAAAAACCCTCAGAAATGGCACTTTTGAATGTATCTTTCAGGCACCTTCCTCTATTTTATATTTTTTTGTTGTTGTTGTTGTTTTTTTGTATTTCAGTTATTTCCAGTTTGCCATAGTAAATGTCACTCTTTGGCATTGTTCTGTTGCATAAAAAGACTAGATTATTGTTCAAGGCTCCTACAGTCATGACTTGGCTATTGAGATTAATGAGACAGTTGTGTGCCAAGCCTTGGAGTTGATTGGTGCATTAGGTCTGATTTACAAAGCTTTCATATTCAGTACAGTATTTAGAAACTGCACACCATAAACAAGGTAATAATTTAGCTACCCCATAGCTTTGTCTTTACTTTATTTTATCCTGAGCTTTTTAGTTTTTTTCCCAAATAATGCTTGACATACAGAAAAAGAAGAATGTGTTTTTTACTTTTGTTTGAACTAAATAAAATAGCAGAAAGCAGTGACAATTTACTGTGAAACTGTGCTTCCAGAGCACACAGGTAGGATGATTTCTGTTGTATTGACAGAAGAATTAGAGTGTTCTCCTACAAAGTGCATAGGCCACAATGAGTTTAGATTTCAATATTCAAAGTATTACACTGTATATATATTCTAATAATATATAATTATATATATTTTTAATATCTATCTATCTCTCTATCTATCTATCTATCTATTTATAATATTCCAATTGTAGCTTAATCCGAATGTGGTCACTCAAGGGATATGATAGATTTAATAAAAAATAAAAATAATTGACAACTCACTCACTCCCTCCCTCCTGAAGAAATTCTGAGGAAACAAATAAACATTTTACCTGTCCTTTCCACACTCTCCAAGTCTGAATGATCTCCCCTACGGTGTTTCAGATAAGACACCCTGGGTTTATGACCTGTTTCATCCATGCTAATTACAAAAGCTGGCTACAGCCAAAAAGCAGGGCATTAGCTATACAGAGAGCACTATGGTTTCTGTTCAGACAAGCTTTACGGTGACCACCAGACAATGCCAAAAATCCAGGAAAATTCAGCCTTTTCTCCAAGACAGATTTACAATAGAAAAAACCATATGTAGAGAGAAAGAAGGGTATCATCACAAACAAGCATCAATATCATATAAACACAGGCCTCCAGGTTGGTTCCTTCTCATCCTGGAGCCTTGGACTCATTTGTGGTCCACACAAAATAGGAAAAGCTATAGACAATCCTGCCTTTACACAGGTACTTATTCTGGTAGCCCTTGGGGAACAGACCTCGGGCAACCTTCAGGAGACTCTCCTCTTGGGTCTTCCTGTGGAATTCCACACCACTCTCTTCCTAATGAACAAAGAGCATGTGCTCTTCCACACAGCCCCAAGATGTGGTGCCTCCTCGTGCTGCTCTGCTCCCAAGGAATTGCCTTTTCAGCAGGATTCACAGCAGCCTCCACTGCAGGTGTTGACACAAGCCGCTGCATGAGCCGCAACCCAGAATGTTTCATGAATGTTGTGAGTTGGGTCACCTTCTTTCACTTTTTCTAAAGCATCTTTCCCACTACCACTACCACTGACTAACTGTGCCTATCAGGAGGCTAAAGTAAATTCCCTTCAAAGGGGTCCCTCTGGCATCACGGACCTAGAGGAAATGTTGATGCTCCTATCCAAACAGCCTGAGCTAGAGAGAAGAATTCCTTTGCAGTGGAAACAAAAGATTGGCTTCTACTCCCAAGGCCTGCCCTTCTGTAACAACCTGTTTGCCTAGCACAGTGGTAAGGGTGCTTGAGCCCCTACTTCAAACAGCAGATTCTCACAACAAAAACCCTTTGCTCTGAATCAACAAGGTTTCCTCACTGTGGCAGTAGTGTAGTAGGTGGTGCTGTAAGTCTGAAATAGGAGATCCACCCTCTATGGCTTGCTTAACCACACTTGGGCAAGAAAGGATTCACTGTGGTCAGATAGAGGTACTGCTGCACGTTTAATATCTAGAAAGGTACAACCTTGTGGTGGGGAGAGTGGGAACTTCAGACAAAGTTCATTAGAGAAGCCCTTCTGTTGAGTCGTGAAGTGCTGAAAGGACCCCCTTGATTTCCAAACTCCTTCTCAAAAAGGAGTTTGGGTGCAGCTGAATCCAGTCTTAGCCTCTGACTCTCACTGCTGAAGGCTAAGGAATTATAAAGGTGTGATTGAACCATTCTTCAACTTTGTCCTGCAGGACTAACCAAATATATTTATATTAAAAAAAAATTATTTATTATAATTAATGATTAGACAAAAATATCCTAATCAGATTTTTTTACTACACAGAAAAGTAGCTAAAACTACTGGTATCAGATAATATAGAACAGTGCATTATAACAATGCAATCATATACAATCATATAAAAGCCATTGTATTAAAGCTAGCGAAAAGAAACTATTATTAAAGAAGAGATTTATGTAACTCACCCTCACCCATATCAACTGTGAGCAAAATCTCTTTTGCTCATCCTCAAGGAGTAACTTTGAGGGGTGTCCCAACCCAAAGCAGAAATGTTCATACACACTCCAAGAAGGAATATATTAGGAGAACTTAACCATATGAAAGTGGACTGGACTTTGAAAGTATAAAGTGATTGACTACCTTATGTCTCCAGGTTGGCATAGCAGTTTATCTTTGCCAGATCTTCGTTTCATTATCAGGATGCTAATTTGGGGTTGATGCGTCAGACCTGTTTTAGCATAATTCAACACCAACAGAAACACATGGTGTTCCTTCTCAGCACACCACTGATAGCTTGCAAAACAGGACATTATTTGAGTGGTCTGACCACATTCCAAGGCAGAATATCATACTACATACTGTGTCAACCTGTGTCAGCAAAACAGGATAAACTATCTCCCAAAAGGTTAGTCACTCACTTTGTCCCATAATAGGGAATCAAATTCCAGACAACTACCATCTAAGCAGGTCTTAGAAGACTTTACTGCATCCTGCTACTACTATAATTCTGTGTGGTGCTTGAGTGCTGGAGCTACAGAAATTACTACAATTTGAGTGATAGTAAGCATTAAGTCGAATACACAAGCCACTTCACAGAAATCTATCCCAGCTCCTCTCACTGCTGTTTGCATCCTCCAGCCACCATGGCTACAGCATGGCAGCTATAGAATCATCCACAAAAAAGAGAGCCTGGGGTTTGTTTTCCTGCAGGAATCCCTTTTGGTGTCCCTCCCTACCACTACAACACAGAGCAGTAGAGAAAGGCTAGCAATATGCTATCACATTTATCTTCCTGGCATGTTCTTGGCTAGCTTTCCTGGGCAGAAGCAGCCTCTGAACAGTTCTTACACCAATAACTACACTGTAAATGCATGATAAAAAACTCTCCTTTGGCTTTCCACAGAGTGAAATAATCAGATATCATGGATTCCCCAGCGAGGAATATGAAGTTCCAACGGAGGATGGGTACATCCTTA